TCCAAAAAAAAAAAAAACTAAAGAATATGGTCTTCATTTAACTTTTCTTTTTTTTTTATTAAAAGTTTATTTTATTTATTTCTTACATGAAAGAAAGAGTGATAAAAGGACCCTCATCATGATTTTTCCTTGTCACAATCCTTTCTACAGCCCCTCAGCCAGCCAGGATCATGGATGTGCATGGGCACCCCTGGCATGTTCAGATCAACTCAGATCCAGACCTAGCTTCCCAGATAGCCCCACCATCATACAGAAGCACCATAATACCAGTGCTACCTTGGCTGGCCTACTTTATTTTTCTAATTTGCATACCAATAAATTATGCAAGATGTTTCCAGTTTCCTGAAATACATTCTCAGCTAGTCATAGTTTTCGGTGTTAATAGAGTCTTATCTCAGCATCTTAATATGTGTTTAGCAGGAAGCTGGGCATTATAACATCTGTTGTTTCTATCTAGAAAATCTAAATTGCATAATAACTATTATATTAATTGGATTCAATTATCTTACAATACATTCTAAATTCAAAATTATTCAACTTATCTTGCTATCATTGATACATTCTCACACAGTAACTATACTAACTATAAATAATTTTTTTTTCTATTACAGTCATTATTCTTGAGGTTTAAAACCCTACTAGTCATCTGGGGGAAATATCCACATTTTACTTTATATAATCTATTTTACATATTTATATATTTTACGAGAAAGGCACAAAGTATAGACTATCAGAAACTCTGATAGTATTATCAGAGATAGAGGTATTATCAATTTAGTACCTGAGAATTGTTAAAAATGATGACATTCATTATACCATTGTCTTGCTTTTAAAATCTGCTATAGCCTAATTGCAGTTACCATTTAAATTTTATTCAGTGTATATTTAACTGCTATTTTGACTGCTTTTTTGATTCAAAGTGTTAGAAATTTTTACCATTGATCTCTTACTTGAAATATGGAAATTGTGCTATGTTTTAATGGCAATGAGGTCTGTCTTCCATGAAGAAAATCCTCTCAAGAAGGTATAGTGAACACAACTCTCATTTTAGTAATAGAAGTGTTTCATCCCAGGAGATTAATTTTTAATCACTTTACTGGTATTACACTTCTGCTTCAGAATGCCAGTTTTCTTCCTTCCTTCCTTCCTTCCTTCCTTCCTTTCTTTCTTTCTTTCTTTCTTTCTTTCTTTCTTTCTTTCCTTTCTTTCTTTCTCTTTCTTTCT